TCACACGACAGGACAAGGAACCAGTGTGAAGACTGTGCCACGTACCAAGTGTATCTATCCCAGTTATACATTGTGGAACAGGGGAGATGACTACAGAATGGATTTGAGGACCTATTATTGGACCCACTGAGTCAGACCTTTGCTGAAACTCCATTGATCACCTGATCTCCATAGGCCCCTACTCTTACTAGAGGGCCATGAAATCTTGAATCCACTGGAATTACTAGTTCAGAATCAGTATTCAGTAGTCCCTGAAATGTCTAATTATTTCCTTACCCCTAGTGTACAGTCACTCTGGCAAAAGGCCTTATATCCCTTTGGGGAAGGCTGGGAGAAAGACTGTCAATCAGTATAAATTTTAGTAGTGTACCAGGGTCTTTCCTCAAGGGGACCCAGCCTCCCCGCTTCATTCACAGGGTTCTGCGTTTGTAAACTGGCTTAAATCCGGGAACTGGTTGAGAGGCCATGATTCACTGTTACTGTGATTTAAAGCAAGTTTCTGTTCCTTTGCCCTTAATTTTTTTTTGATTACATAAATCTAGTAAAAACTGTGTAGGCTTCCTACCTAGTCACTTTTGGGAACACTGCGGCTAATCAGCCAGTGCTGTAAGTCTATACATGTCAGAGCATTCTGATCATTTCTGTGCTTCTGCTGTCCACTGTGGTAAGTGTGTGCACCTTGCCTTTGGAGATTAAGTGGTACCACTTGGCCCCTGCCCTTCCGTGATCCAGCCAAACCCATTGCCCCTCAAGTTTACCGCAGGCCCTGCTACAGGTTCTGGCACACAGAGAAGAGCAACGACAGGGCTCTCTCAGGGATGCTGGTACTCCCCTTGTGAATTTGCTTCTCAAGGTGTTAGTGAAGGGTACATTTTCTGGATCATCCCATGTGGTAGGTTTGGCATAACAAATCCACTCCAGCATTTTCATTTGCCTAAGCCTCTGAATCCCCTCATCAACAGTAAACCAGGGACTGTCATAGGCATCTCTCACTCATTCACACTGGGCCATTTTTTGACTCATACTTCCACCAACAAGCCAAATAAACTGTGAACAGCTTTCTTTACTCCACGAGCTGCTTAATGGGCCCTGTCAACAAACTCAGCCTGATCTAGCTGTGTTTTCTCCCCCATAACATTTCCATTCCCACACTTGCTCATGAGGCCTCTGTTTAGAAGAGTTAGAAAATTCCAGAAGTTCTTTGGGAGAATGACGGACCTCCTCGTGGGTCGCACTGTGTACCTCACTCATAGGAGCCTTCTGTGGTTTGAGCCTGGTTATAGGCCTAGAGGCAAAGTGGGTGATGGAGTGGGTCCCGAGGAATGCCAGCGTTATCATGCTTGACCAACACAGGGTCAGTTTCCTCAGCTGTATGAGGAGAGGCCAACACACGGGCTGGGAGGAGTGCCTCTGCTGCTGTGGGTGGGGAAATCTCTTCCTCTAGCAAAATAATCTTAGAGTCTAGGAGCTGAACGACTTCACCCTCATCAGCATCTTCCCAAACATCTCCACCCCAGTTTGTGTGAGCCCATTCTTTCCCAGTGAGTACCCCCACTTCACTTCAGATGACCGTCGAGGCTGAGCGTTAAACTCACACTGTACTTCAGCTCACTGAATTGTGAGGCCTGCGTTGGGGTTTCTCCAGTCTCGGCCCTGTGGCTAAAGACGGGAGATGCTCTTTCAGGACGTAATTAGAAACTGTGAAATTTTTTATGTGTGTATCAGGAGCTGGGAATTTGAATCTTTCAGCTCCTTATCTCCTTTATTAGTTTGTTGTCAGAGTTAGGAGACTTCAGATTTCCTACAGATGTTTTGAGTTTGTTGTTTTCCTTCACTATTTTGTCCATAGGTGCTAAGAGCAACCAGCCAGCATCAGTATATTTCCTACTCTGCCAAAAATATTCAAAAGTTTCATATATGAAGTCGCTAAATTCCTTGTATTTCACAAGTGGTGAATTAGCATAATCAAGTGGATCTACACTGCACCAGGGACTGTAAGTAACCCTCACAGAATCAGAAGGAGAGCCGGGATATAGCTCAGCGGAACCGCGCCTGCCTGGCAAGCACGAGGTCCCGAGTTTGATTCCTGTACCAAAAAAGAAAGAAAAAATGAGAGACCATGGCATCTTTCGGTCTTGGCAAATTAGAGAGCCACCTCCAGGAACCCCTACAGCCACTAAAGAATTTCATCTTTTTTTTTTGGTCTTTTTGAGGCAGGGTCTCGCTATGGAGTTCAGGCTGGCCTTGAGCTCACTTTGTAGCCCCAGCTGGTCTCAAACTTGCAACAGAGATCCTCCTGCCTCAGCCTCCTGAGTGCTGGGATTACAGGTGTGCACCACTACGCCCAGCAAGAATTTCATCTTTACAGTTCTGTTTCTTGAGAGCTACTCTTGGTACCAAAATCTGTATCAGTCAGTGCTTGCTAGAGAAACAGATTTAATGTAAGATACACAAATTTGTAAGAATTTACAAAATTGGTTTATAATACCCGCCCACAGAGTCAGATGTGGAAAAGTGCAAAATGTGCCCGCCCACTGGATATCTGGTCAGAGGCCTGGCACTCACTGCCGTGACCTGTGTGATTCTGTATCAGGAGGCTGAAGGGTCTGCGCTGGAAGCCAGGAGACTATGTCCAGGTGAAGGTGGAGACTGAGCTCCTCCGGAGAAACAGAAGCAGCCTTCTTCATTTCTGTTTCATACCAGTCTGACAACAAGCCACCTACAGTGGCTCTTCCATACCCAGACTATGCTGATCCGCTTTAGCTGGGCGTTTCTCACTCACATTCACACAGTCAGTTGACTAACTCACCAACAAAAAGTTGACTATTATAGTAATAACCACAGAAACAGCTCAGTTCTTCACAACTGGTTCCCAAACCATGCGTGCTCATGTTTGTTCCCGTAGAGTAATAGCAGGATTTGAATGCATTTTAACATTGATTTTCTTAAAAATAAAATGTCAATTTTCTCCTTTCTGTGCGAACATCTGTGAGATTCTCTCTAAAAAGAGTCTCTTGACCAGCACCCGTTTCCAGCTGTTGCTCACACAGATATTTTTCCAGTTAATTTACCTTCCCTCAGCCATGATCTCCTATTGACAGTTGTTTTGACAGCTTCACATGAGTCAAGCGAAGTACTCTTTATTGTTCTTTTTGAACACTATTACGCACTTGGAGGCCGGTGCAGGGCTGCAGTCCGGAGACTGGCGCGGCCACACAGGGAGCCCCAGGCCAGACTGAGTACCGAGCAAGACCCTGTCTCAAAAACAAAACACCAGCAAACACTCATCCCTGGAAACTTCCAGTGCTGGGCTAGTTATGGCTTTTGTACTTTTCAGAAAGAATTATAATTTATTCAGAGAACACTAAAATTGTTCTTGTTATGCAAATATTGGCAGTCATACCCTTGTAAAACATAGAGGCTATTTAATAGTTAATAATACAGCCTATCTTTCCATAGAAGGAGCCTATAAAACTTTGAGAAAATAGTAGAAGGTAAAAAAAATGAAGAGTTGTACCCCAGAAGGGAATACTAGAACTAGTGGAAATTGAGGATAGTCTCCACTGTGTACAGCAAGTCTTTTAAAGGGGGGGGGGGCAAAAAGGCCAATATTCTGTTGTTCTTGCTGTTTTGAGTTTTTTTATTAGTAGGTGTTTGTGATATGTAATATCCACATTCATCTTGAGGGCGTTATACTTACACATACTGAATCTTAATCATTTCTACTTCCTCTTCCCACCCTCGTCTTCCCCCATCCTCAGACCCCTTCCCCATTTACATAAAGTCTGCCTCCCTGTTGTTTGAAGGATCATGGAATCTAGAGCGTCTGAATCCTGATGCTTACTAGGACAAATGGAGGTGGGAGATGTCTGGCAGAGCAAGAACAACCTTTTGTGGGTGGATTGGCTTTTAAAAGGATGGGAAAGTGAGGGCTTATATTTCTTTCTGTGAAGTACGAGCTGGGGAGAAGGAGCTGGTAGATGGGAAGTGGGTATATTGAAAGTTTAAGAACAGAAGTCTTGAAAATAGGTACTTTAAAAAGTGAAAGTACCCATTCATTAGAAGAAATGAGTGAGATTGCTGGGTATTGCAGTATTGATCCTGAGTTTATAGTGATAGAGTTCTGCTTTGCTCTGCGAACCCTCACCGCTGTCCCAAGTAGCGCTGATTTTCTGTTGCAAATGTGGAAAAGGGGTGGCTGCGCTCAGAGTTCTGGTCCTGAGGCTCCTGAGGGAGTCACTGATCCGTCCTGCCTCTGTACGAACAGGAATAAGCGCAGCTTCCACCTAACACAGCTGCAGCTGAGGCCGCATGCTCTTGGAGCCCATGTCAGTAGAGCAGAGTGTCCAGGGCATATTGGAAAAGGGTAAATGCAGCCATATTTCAGTGCTTGGGAATGTTGAATTAGCTTATTCAGTGTGGGGCCATTTTCAAAGTTTTTTACTATTGACTCTATTTAGGTGGTTTTTAAAAAAATCATCCTGTTTGAAAATGTTTGTTTCAATTCCTTGGTTATGGAAAACTTAAACAACAAAACATTTTTTTCTTAGAATGAAATAGGGCTGGGGATACAGCTCAGTGGCACAGGAGCCTGCAAGCTCAAGGTCCTGAGTTTGATTCCTGGTACCAAAAAAAAAAAAAAAAAGAATGAAACAAAAACATTATATTTAAAGCTCATAACTGATAAAATAAGAATATGCAGATTTTAGGTAGACCAAAAGTAGGGATTAGTACTGTTTGTCCATGTCGTATATTCAAAATCCCATTTTTGGTGGTTGTTTTTGTTTTTTGAGACAGAGTCTCGCTATGTAGTCCAGGCTGGCCTTGAACTCACTATGTAGCCCAGGCTGGCCTCGAACTCATGGCAGTCCTCCTGTCTCAGCCTCCCAAGTGCTGGGATTATAGGTGTGTGCCACCACACTCGGTGTTCAAAATCCTTATTTAAAAGCACAGTGTAATCAGTGTATTTCCTACTAATGTAATTTTTTTTTTCTTTTTAGGAAATAGTCTAGTAAGCTTAACCTTTCATTTATTTAGTCTTCATGGACTAATTGAATACTTCCATTTAGATATGATGAAACTTCGTAGATTTTTAGGTAAGTGATTCAAACCTGGTTAACAGTAAAAAGATTTATACAGATCTTGTTTAACTTTTTATCGGTTTTATCGGTAGCTACTGCTGTATTACAATCAAATTTAGAGGCTGAAAACACACATTTACAATTGCGCACTGCACATGTGACAGCAGTCCCATAAAATTATATTCTCTGGTGACATCACACCCATCTGAATTTGTACAAGTGCATTCTATGATGTTTGTACAGTGAAATCACCTAACTGCACATCTCAGGATGTGTTCTGCTGTTTAGTGATGAAAGACTGTGCATATGAACTGTGAGTTGATTGCTCTCTCTGATTCTGGACAATTTTAGTTGATAGCTACATGGAAAATGAGGGGGTAACATAATTATCAGAGCTTTTTAATATATGTGCATGTAACCCGCTGTAAAATTGTAGTCATAGCCCATTTAGAACCTTGCCCATTATAAAACTGGGGTCATTGTTTTTTCTTTGATGTAGTTATGATTCAAGAAGATTACCACAGTCAGAATCCTTACCACAATGCAGTCCATGCTGCAGACGTTACTCAGGCCATGCACTGTTACTTAAAAGAACCTAAGGTAAGAATTGACATTTACTTTAGGAGAATATGATTATAAATTTCTTTAGATGTACTTTATCTGAAATTGGTTACTCAAAATCAGAAGCCTCCTTCATAAGGAAGCGATCTAGTTTGAGTTTCTAAGTGCAGCTGTATTTGTAACTGCAGTGAGTAGAGAATCGGAGTGATTGGTGCGAGAGGCTGAAGAATCAATCCCAAGCAAGGCCCCGATCACTTGAGCCTTGAGCAGGGAAGACACGTGGTGTTTATAGTGAGCCCGTGAGCGCCGTGGGGCAGGGACAGCCTTGTTCTCGTCCAGTGATGAGTGGGAAGCTGTGGAAGGGACTTGGGAGAAGAGGAAACTCCCCTGGCTGTGGTGTGAAAATAAAGCAGAGAAGACCAGAGGACGAATCTCTGCCAGGAGCCGTTTCATAGCTCCACCCAAGAAAGCCTGGTGGCCTCGCAGGAGAGGCATGGGTGGTTTGTCTAGAATTAGGATGAACCGGGTGTGGTGAGTAATGCATCTTGAGGAAGGAGAAAGAGAGTCAGTGAAGACTGGTTTGGGCAGCTGAGTAGAAGGTGTAGTCTCAGTAAGAGGAATGTAGAAGAGGCTAGGGCGGTAGAGATAGGATCTTGTGTGTGTGTGTGTGTGTGTGTGTGTGTGTGTGTGTTGTGTGGAGTGGAATGTATTTGTGTGCAGGTGAAGATGTCTACTAGCTAGCTGGGTGTAGTGGCACATACCTGTAATCCCAGCACTCTGGAGGCTGAGGCAGGAGGAGTTCAAGGCCAGCCTGGACTATAAAATGAGTTCCAGGCCAGCCTGGACCACCCTGTCACAAAAAAACCAACCACCACAACAACAGAAAGATGTCTGCTAGCTGGATAAGAATCCAAACAAGAGGATCATAGTTGAGATAGATTCGGGAATCATCAGCTGCAGAAGTTATTAAAAGCCATCTGCCCGTGGAAGTCTTCTGTTCCTTAAGGTTCCAAGACTGCACCAGCCTGCCCCTGCCACTGTGCAGTGCTGTTCTCTCCCCGGACCTTGGTCTGGCCAGAGGTTAGGAAGAAAGTGTGCCGATGAAACTGGAGCAGACCGGTTGATGCTGCCTTGAGAACAGGGCCGGTCATTTCATCTTTTAAGAGACAATGGGGGGGCTGGGGATTTAGCTCAGCGGCAAAGCGCCTGCCTGGCAAGCGCAAGGTCGTGAGTTCAGTTCCCGGTACCGGAGAAAAACCAAAAAAAAAAAAAAAAAAGAGAGACAATGGGGGACATGAAAATGTCCCAATTTCTAAAATATATCTGTCACGACATTTTTTTTAAAAATCGTCTTTATTGTGATACATTTCATACAAAATAAAATTTATACGTTTTATGTCTACAGTTTTAATAAATGTATCTTCCTAAGTGCCCTAATTTTTTAATAAAAGTTTTAAAAATCTGTAGGCCATGCCTGAGATCTGTGTTCAAGAATCTTATGGAAAAAATTGATAAGGAATCACAGTGCAGTTTGGGAAATGAAAATGAAGGTTTCTGTGGGGCTCAGAGGAGGGTGAGCTGGACAGTGAGGGCTTCTCCCCCTACCAACCCAAATGGGGCAAGGGGTCAGGAAAGCGGGGTGACGCCAGGGAGCAGGGTAAGGAGGTCTGTGTCTGACCGAGTACAGACACGATTTTAAACACTTTCTGCTTGTGTAGCTCTGTAATTCTGGTAATACTTACTTTATACACCATTATTAACAAGCTCAGTGAACTCTAATCAAAACTTCAGTGAAGGATATAGATAAGATCACTAAGTCCTAAACGCAGCAACTCTTTTTTTCCCTTGTCATAGTTCACAATTTAAAATGGTTACTCAAAGCTTTTTGTTTTTTGGTTTTTCTTTGAGACAAAGTCTCACTATGTAGTGGAGGCTGTCCTTGAACTCACTATGTAGCCTAGGCTGGCCTCAAATTCATGGCAGTCCTCCTGCCTCTGTCTCCCGAGGGCTGGGATTACATGTGTGCGCCATCACACCCAGCTGGTTACTCAGAGTTTTTAAAGTGAATCCTAAAAATTGAAAGCCTTAAGATTGTATCTCTGCTGGGTGTGGTGGCGCACAGCACTCAGGAGCCTGGGGCAGGAGGATCGCCCGTGAGTTCAAGGCCAGCCTGGCCTACTTAGAGAGTTCGAGGCCAGCCTGAGTATAAAGTGAGACCCTGCCTCAAAAGAAAACAAAACAGAAAAGGTTGTATCCTTTCATTTCCTGGGCCTTTACTTGGCATCGCATGTTCATAGTGTTTCCATTCTTTATCAGTATGTGTTCACTTGAGCGTCTGCTGCATGCCAGGCACTACCCTGGGGACAGAGCAGCGAGGGTCTTTGTGTTCATGAGACAGTCATTAAACAAATAAGTAAAATTTGGACATATCCTCCAGTAATGAATTCTCCGGAGAAGCCAAAATATAGTGTAGTCTGCTAGAGAGTGACTGGGTAGATGGCAGGAACTTGCAGTTTCAGATAGCATGATCAGAAACCCCTTAAACGAGGAGTCAGCAGCGGAAAAAGCCAGGTGCAGAGGGAGTAGTAACCGGAAAAGCTTAAATAGATACATTTAGTGAAAACTTTGTCTTTAGCTTGTATACCTTACGATTTATATGAGAGTGCTAGATTTTGTACTTTTACCTAAGTGAAAAAGAAGTGTTCTAAGCTGGAGAAATTACTAGAAATGTATGAAGAAGACCCTTCTCTCAATACTTGCATCGCCACTGCCTTACGTATCTGTTTTCATGTTGTCAAGGCCGAACTTACATGGTTTATACAACATGTCTTTTGGGTGAACCTAAGATATCTCTGATTTGTTTACACTGGTAACATTAATAATTGTCAGCTGAAGAACTTGTGCTTTTTCAGTTTCCTATTTTAATGTTCATCTTCATCTTTATGTACAGTTTTAAATTAGCTATTCTATCATCAGCCCTAAATACTCTTGGAAAATTGGTTCCAGGACCCCCTCCTCCAGCCACTGGTTCTCAAGTCCCTTATGAAAATGGCATAGTATCTACACATAACCTGTGCGCATTCTCCCACATACATATGTTAAATCATCTCTAGGTTTCTTAGAATATCTAATAGGAGTGCTATGTAAAAAGTTGTTATACTGTATTATTTAGGGAATGGTAACAAGAAAACTATCTGTAAATATTCAGTAGAGATGCAGGTGCCACCCCCGTGTAGAACCTGCAGATATGGAGGCCAACTGTTCCTAATTAATACACACTGAAAGTAGGCCTAGATAAAAAACTGTATTTATACATGTCCCAGAGATAAGCAAACCAGCTTGAGTATGTGGCCTTTAAATGTTGCTCTGCTTGTCCCTGGCAGTTGACATAAGAGCCTGTCTCCCCACTCCCACCCTACCCCTGCTTTTCATGTTAGCAAGACTCATGCTGCTGGAGTTGTTTTTCCTGTAGATACTCCTTTATCCATGCACTGAGCATATGTCAAAGAACATGCTAGCTGCTGATGACAAAAATGTGCATAAGAGGGATTTTGACCTCTGGAAGGTAGTCATGGAATGTGTTGGAACCTAATGGGGACGCCACAAGAATGTCAGTGCCCCAGGGCAGGAATTTTTGTCTGTTTACTAAAACAGTGTCAGCTCATGGTACACAACTCAGTCAATGCATCAGTGAACAGATGTTTCTGTGTGGTCTCTAGAATGGACTGGGTTCACTTGAACTGTTTTCTCTGTTTTTAGACCTCTAGATCATTCCTGATTTTACTGTGGCAACTCTCAGAACAGAAGCCTGCCTGCGCTTTTCCCTTTTGTGTGTGGGAGGTGCCCTTCTTTCAGTATATTCTCAGGACTGACGAATCAACAGTCCAGACATGAGCTGGGCACAGTGGTGCACACCTCTAATCCCAGGTACTCAGGAGGCTGAGGCAGGAGGATTGTAAGTTGGAGGCTAAGCTGAGCAACCTAGGAAGACCCTGTTTCAGAGTAAAACATAATAAAATAAAATGGGCTGGGAAGGTAGCTCAGTGGTAAAGCGCTTGGCCTAGCATGTGCAAAGCCCTGGTTCAGTCCCCAATAGCATCAAAAATGAAAAGAAAGCACGTGCGTACTTTATGAATAAATATTCTCCTTGGTGAAAATACCACTTATGTTTTCTCTTAACAAGGCATCACTATCTGTTACCTTCTTTCTGGTACTAGATATATAGATATAGATATAGATTTTTTTTAAATAAAAGGAAGATGAGAAGTGAAGGAACGAAAAGAAAAAAAGCAATTCACTTTACTTGTTTTGAGCTTAGAATTTTTTTGTTCTTTGTAGTTCCTCTTTATGAGAATGCCTGTCTTGGCCTTTGTTGTTTCCTAGAAAGTATTTTCTGTAGCATATTGTTTGAATTTTAATTTCACATATGGATTTTTTCCCCTATGTTTCCTTACATCGTAGCTGCTGAAGTTATTTTGAAATCAACCAAAGTCTTGTATTAAATGATTTCAATACTTATAATACCCATTACAGTGAAAACTCCGCATCATGCTAGCAAACTGTGAAAATAGTGAGGTTGTCCTCATTGAATAAAGGAAAATTCATCAAGGTTTCTGATTTTATTGAAAGTGGACCTTGATGATAGCTTTGCACATACAAGTGAAATCTGACTTGTATCAGGCACTACCAGGTACAATAACAGCACAGAAAGAACATTTGCCTTTCTAAAACCCACTCTAAAAAGCTGATCCGCATCATTTAATTGTCTTTTTATAATACTGTTTCTTTCTACTGAAAGATTGTTTTTTTACAAGCAGAATACTATATTTTTACAGCCACTTTTTTATACTTTGCCTATGTGGTTTGTTTTCAAATTTTATTTCCACAGAATGTTTAAAACTTCAGTTGCTACTTCCTATGTTTCTATTTTTATTGGTTATTCTTCACCTGAGATTCTGTGAAATCAAATAATCTCATAATGGATGTGATCTGTGTTACTGTACTCACCCTGGGTGGCGAGTGCGTCTCTCCCACTTCACTCTTCATTATCACTGGACCAGCACACCTTTCACACCTGTTTACTAGGTTGTGCATACATTCTGTGCGCACACCCAAGCCCGCTGTTCATGTGTCAGATGAGGACTGCTGTATATTCAGTGTGCCTTCTCTTTATCTTGATTAGTAAACAGTGCTTTAAAAATCTTTTTAAATGCTTTTCTAGATCTTCATGA